TCCCACAAATGCTAAAGAAGCGCATGGATACCTATAGGCATAGAGAAAGGCATCCAGCGACCCGAATGTTGTTGCATATTCGTGTGGCCCATCTTCAAAAACACCTTCCAGAGCAATTTCAGCTTGGTTCGCACGCACGGAAAAGTTCGGCGCCCGCGATGACGGTCGTGCCTGCCGACAAATGCTAAGGAAGCGATGGATCCCTATAGGCGAAGGGAAAAGCATCCAACGACCCGAATGTTGTTGCATATTCGTGTGGCCCATGTTCAAATACACCTTCCAGAGCAACTTCAGCTTGGTTCGCGCGCACGGAAAATTCCAGCGCCCGCGACGACGGCCGTGGCTGCCGACAAATGCTAAGGAACCGCATGGATCCCTATAGACGCAGGGAAAAGCATCCAACGACCCGAATGTTGTTGCATATTCGGGTGGCCCATGTTCAAAAACATTATCTAGAGCAACTTCAGCTTGGTTCGCGCGCACGGAAAACTTCGGCGGCCGCGATGACGGCCGTGCCTGCCCACAAATGCTAAGGAAGCGCATGGATCCCTATAGGCGCAGGGAAAAGCATCCAACCACCCGAATGTTGTTGCATATTCGGGTGGCCCATGTTCAAGAACACCTTCCAGAGCAACTTCAGATTGGTTCGAGCGCACAGAAAAGTTCGGCGCCCGCGATGACGGCCGTGCATGCCGACAAATGCTAAGGAAGCGCACGGAACAACCCGAATGTTGTTGCATATTCGGGTGGCCCATGTTCAAAAACACCTTCCAGAGCAATTTCAGATTGGTTCGCGCGCACAGAAAAGTTCGGCGCCCGCGATGACGGCCGTGTCAGAATGTTGTATTTGTCTAGCCTGCAGTGGGGTATTCTATAGCGAGTACAGCCCAATCTAGGGTTTCCTATATTTACTCAACTGCTTGCTAGTTCAATCATTCCTTCTCAATTCTGTTCGTACACACATTCCTAGCTCGTACTTGGCTCCTCGTTACTAGTCCTACTGTGGCCTAGGCTACTAAGCCTAGGCCGTACTCCTACTACTTCTGACAGGCCGTGCCTGCCGACAAATGCTAAGGAAGTGTATGGATCCCTATAGGCGTAGGGAAAAGCATCGAACGACCCGAATGTTGTTGCATATTTGGGTGGCCCATGTTCAAATACATCTACCAGAGCAACTTCAGCTTGGTTCGCGCGCACAGAAAAGTTCGGCGCCCATGATGACGGCTGTGGCTGCTGAGATGACAGCCGTGCGTGCCCACAAATGCTAAGGAAGCGCATGGATCCCTATAGGCATAGGGAAAAGCATCAACGACCTGAATCTTGTTGCATATTCGGGTGGCCCATGTTCAAATACAACTTCCAGAGCAATTTCCGCTTGGTTCGCGCACACAAAAAAGTTCGGCGCCCGTGATGACGGCCGCGCCTGCCGACAAATGCAATGGAAGTGCATGGATCCCTATAGGCGCAGGGAAAAGCATCAATGACCCAAACAGTGTTGCATATTTGGGTGGCCCATGTTCAAGTACACCTATCAGAGCAAGTTCAGCTTGGTTCGCGTGCACAGAAACGTTCGGTGCCCGCGATGACGGCCATGCCTGCCCACAAATGCTAAGGAAGCGCATGGATCCCTATACGCCCATGTTCAAGTACACCTACCAGAGCAAGTTCAGCTTGGTTCGCGTGCACAGAAAAGTCCGGCGGCCGCGATGACGGCCGTGCCTGCCCACAAATGCTAAGGAAGCGCATGGATCCCTATAGGCGTAGGGAAAAGCATCCAACCACCCGAATGTTGTTGCATATTCGGGTGGCCCATGTTCAAGAACACCTTCCAGAGCAACTTCAGATTGGTTCGAGCGCACAGAAAAGTTCGGCGCCCGCGATGACGGCCGTGCATGCCGACAAATGCTAAGGAAGCGCACGGAACAACCCGAATGTTGTTGCATATTCGGGTGGCCCATGTTCAAAAACACCTTCCAGAGCAATTTCAGATTGGTTCGCGCGCACAGAAAAGTTCGGCGCCCGCGATGACGGCCGTGTCAGAATGTTGTATTTGTCTAGCCTGCAGTGGGGTACTCTATAGCGAGTACAGCCCAATCTAGGGTTTCCTATATTTACTCAACTGCTTGCTAGTTCAATCATTCCTTCTCAATTCTGTTCGTACACACATTCCTAGCTCGTACTTGGCTCCTCGTTACTAGTCCTACTGTGGCCTAGGCTACTAAGCCTAGGCCGTACTCCTACTACTTCTGACAGGCCGTGCCTGCCGACAAATGCTAAGGAAGTGTATGGATCCCTATAGGCGTAGGGAAAAGCATCGAACGACCCGAATGTTGTTGCATATTTGGGTGGCCCATGTTCAAATACATCTACCAGAGCAACTTCAGCTTGGTTCGCGCGCACAGAAAAGTTCGGCGCCCATGATGACGGCTGTGGCTGCTGAGATGACAGCCGTGCGTGCCCACAAATGCTAAGGAAGCGCATGGATCCCTATAGGCATAGGGAAAAGCATCAACGACCTGAATCTTGTTGCATATTCGGGTGGCCCATGTTCAAATACAACTTCCAGAGCAATTTCCGCTTGGTTCGCGCACACAAAAAAGTTCGGCGCCCGTGATGACGGCCGCGCCTGCCGACAAATGCAATGGAAGTGCATGGATCCCTATAGGCGCAGGGAAAAGCATCAATGACCCAAACAGTGTTGCATATTTGGGTGGCCCATGTTCAAGTACACCTATCAGAGCAAGTTCAGCTTGGTTCGCGTGCACAGAAACGTTCGGTGCCCGCGATGACGGCCATGCCTGCCCACAAATGCTAAGGAAGCGCATGGATCCCTATACGCCCATGTTCAAGTACACCTACCAGAGCAAGTTCAGCTTGGTTCGCGTGCACAGAAAAGTCCGGCGGCCGCGATGACGGCCGTGCCTGCCCACAAATGCTAAGGAAGCGCATGGATCCCTATAGGCGTAGGGAAAAGCATGCAACGACCCGAATGTTGTTGCATATTCGGGTGGCCCATGTTCAATTACACCTTCCAGAGCAACTTCAGATTGGTTCGCGCGCACTAAGAAGTTCGGCGCCCGCGATGGCGGCCGTGCCTGCCCACATATGCTAAGGAAGCCCATGGATCCCTATGGGCATAGGGAAAAGCATCGAACGATCCGAATGTTGTTGCATATTCGAGTGACCCATGTTCAAATACACCTTCTAGATCAACTTCAGATTGGTTCGCGCGCACAGAAAAGTTCGGCGCCCGCGATGACGGCCGTGCCTGCCGACAAATGCTAAGGAAGCGCATGGATCCCTATGGGCGTAGGGAAAAGCATCCAACGACCCCAATGTTGTTGTATATTTGGGTGGCCCATGTTCAAATACACCTTCCAGAGCAACTTCGGATTGGTTCGCGCGAACATAAAAGTTCGGCGCCCGCGATGACGGCCGTGCCTGCCGACAAATGCTAAGGAAGCGCATGGATCCCTATGGGCGTAGGAAAAAGCATCCAACGACCCAAATGTTGTTGCATACCCGAATGTTGTTGCATATTCACGTGGCCCATGTTCAAATACACCTTCGAGAGCAACTTCGGATTGGTTCGCGCGCACATAAAAGTTTGGCGCCCGCGATGACGGGCGTGCCTGCCGACAAATGTTAAGGAAGCGCATGGATCCCTATAAACGTAGGGAAAAGCATCCAACGACCCGAATGTTGTTGCATGTTCACGTGGCCCATGTTCAAATACACCTTCTTGAGCAACTTCGGATTGGTTCGCGCGCACATAAAAGTTCGGCGCCCGCGATGGCGGCCGTGCCTGCCGACAAATGCTAAGGAAGCGCATGGATCCCTATAAACGTAGGGAAAAGCATCCAAAGACCCGAATGTTGTTGCATATTCACGTGGCCCATGTTCAAATACACCTTCTTCAGCAACTTCGGATTGGTTCGCGCGCACATAAAGGTTCGGCGCCCGCGATGACGGCCGTGCCTGCCGACAAATGCTAAGGAAGTGCATGGATCCCTATTAAATGGTATATATTTTATAAGACCCGGGTCTTAATACATGGTATTCGTTCTTAATAGTTCTATAATAAATTCATGTGTGTTGTGTATATTTGTGTCAGTTGTACTTCGCAGCTTTGCAGTGAATGCGCGTGATGCCGCGAATGTCACCACCTTCAGGTTTTTGCCATGTGGCATCACTCTCGCCACTGGACAGATTAGAAATCACCACATTGGTAGTGGCGAAAAGAAAACATTTGACCATGTTGACTGCGCAATACCCACGCGCAGTTATCGGAAGGGGAAAATTTTTGCTCTCTGAAATCGCTTCGATTTCAATACAATAAAATGTCAAATGCTACATTCTTCCTAAGGATGGGGGGGTCTTATAATGATTGCACTAGAATAGGGGGGTATAACTAAAACGGATCAAATATAGTACCCCCCTCCCCGTATTATAGACCCGGGGGTCTACTACTGGAGGGGGTCTTATATACGGGGGTTTACGGTACACCTTCTAAAGCTACTTCATATTGGATCGCGCGCACGGAAAATTTCGGCGCCCGCGATGACGGCCGTGCCTACCGACAAATGCTAAGGAAGCGCATGGATCCCTATAGGCGTAGGGAAAAGCATCCAACGACCCGAACCAATCAAAAGCAGTTGGTCGAACAGAATGTGTGCGGAAAGTACGGTAGCGGTTGAGGAAAAAACAGAGTTCCTCATAGTGAGCCAATAGGCGCTGACCTTGTTGAGATATACAAACCTATGCAGCTGCATTTTAGTAGCTGTAACCTTTAACAAAACAGCTGTCACAAAAAAATACAATGAAATCAAGTATGGCACTTGCTATGTAACAAAACATCTACGTAAAAAAATGTAACACAATCGATGAGTAGTGACTCGTTGAAACCCATCAGGCAGTCGTTTGTTCAGAATAGAGAGAGCCAGGTGCCCGGCATGGACCATCCAGCAAGCGCGCCTTGATGAAGGCTCGGCCCGGCACAATCAAGCGAGGTATCTGAATTTGGTGGGGTTCTCCTTGTCACGCTGCAGGTTCTCACGCGCAATCAAATCCTCAGTGCGCTTCTTGATCGCCTTAAGTCCGGCTGCTCACACACAATCGCATGGTGCACACATCACGTTCCCCCCGTCAAGCAATCTCCTTCTGCAGCCAAGCGGGTGGCTTGGAGGAGCGCCTGGTACAACTCACTTAGCTTGGCATAAAAGGTACAAGACAGCAATGAGAGTAAACGACTGGCGCAGGCGGGTAAGGTGTGTGAGGAGGGAGGGGCGTTACCTTGAACATGCGGCCTAGTTGCTCGACGCATTCGAGCACGAGCTGCTGGTGGCCCAGCACCTTGCGGCTCTTCATGATGCGCACAGTGGACGCGTCTATGGCGGCAGTGGCACCTGCTCGTCTCCACACACACACCGCCACAGAACACAGCATGGCAGCGCACCCGCCATGGGTCAGGAAGAGAGTTGTGAGACGCCTGTGGCATGGCGGCTGGTAACTGGGCTATGACAAGGGCAGCAACACCCAGACGGCATTCCACAGTTAAGCAAACACGAGAGGGGCGTGCAGAACACAGCAGGCAGGCAGGAAGAGCGCAGACCTTGATGCGCCGCATCTTGTCTGTGAAGGAGGGGTTGAAAGCGAACACGTCGCTCTGCTCAATGGTCTTGCCGGCGGGCTTCTTCACGAGAATCTTGTACTTGGCGCAGGAGAGCGAGTGCAGCAGGCGCACTATATCCTCGTCCGTGAGGCGCTCGGACGCGTTGAAGAGCAGCAGCACTGCGGCCAGGTACGTGGTGACGATGAGCTCGATGGGCTTCGCTGTGAACTTGCCCGTGATGTTGCACGTGCCCTGCGAGTAGATACACGTCAGCTTGCGGTGCTTGGTCTTCGTCTGGTAAAACTCCTTGAACACCTCCACACACCGCACCTGATGCCCCATGGCCGCCCACACCACACACACCGCACACATGCAGTCACAAAGTCACATCATCAAAAACTTGCACATCAGCAGGGGGGGCCAACAAAAAGCATGTTCGTGAAGCTGGGACTTGTGGAAGGCGGGAGGGAGGCGGGAGGGAGCGCGCACCATTTCAGCGGGCAGCGCGAGGTCGGAGGACTTGTAGGAGGGCCAGAAGACGGTGGTGAGCACGGTGACGGTGAGGTCTATGCCCGGACTGTGCCCGGGGTTGTCCGCCAGATACTCCTCAAACGCCGCCTGCTGCTCCGGCGCCAGCGTCAGATCCGTCACCTGTAGGGGGGCAGACAGGGGGGCACGCCCACATACACGCACACATGCACGCACACAAGCTCACATTGGGCCTCAAACCCGGATGGCTGTGTGAGTAAGCAGTGCAAATGATAGGCAGCAGGAGTGCAGGGGGAGGGGGGTGCAGATGTGTGTGTGCGCGTTGAGGGAGACACGGACCATGCCCTCCATCTTGGAGGTGAAGTGGCCACCGCACTGCTGCTTGAGCTTGGTGAGAATGCTGCGCTCGTGGTTGTCGTTCGCACTCTTGTCAAACAACAGCCGCCGCGCCAGCTTCTTGCTGCCACACGTGTAGGGGGGGGGGGGGGGTACTCAAGAGGGGGAGTGAGCACTATGAGCAGATGGGGACAGCAGGACTTACTCAAAAGGCGATGACGGATGTGAGATGTCACAGACGCAGCACACATAGGTGAAACCACGAAGCGCATGCAGTAGGGCTAACCAGTGGCAAAACATGGATGAGGAGAGACGAATTGAACTGGCAATGAGTGTGCTTGCATTGCATGGAGGGAGCATGACATACCGGCAGAGCTCAGCAAACCAGGTCGTTATCACTCATGTACGCCAGCAGCTTCACCACCTGCTCAGGCAACAGAGCGGCGCGGGAAGGGCAGGCACAGTTGCAACCCGCAGGCAAACCAGAACAGACCAAGGCGACTTCTGAGGCGCCTCAAAGGCGAGCGTGCATTGCCAAAGAAGGCCACGTCGACACACACGGCATCGGGCAGATAAGCACAATGGCGGTACCGTAGGGGGCAGGTGACTGGTAGAGCGGGGGAGCGGTGATGCAGGGTGTGTGGGGCGCAATGCAGGTGCGGGAGGGGAGAGAGGAGGAAGACACCCGAGAGGCAGGGCGCCCACCTTGGTGCGGATGGCAGCTTCCAAAACGGTGCAGTGCGGTTCTGGCTGGAAGGGCCTGCACAGCGCAGCACCAGGTCAGCTCCTGCGAACCGGAGGGAGGGGACGGGGAGAGGGAGGAAAGGGGGAGAGAGGCGATGGAGAGAATAGGAGGTGATGCAGGTCGGTTGGGGGGGGTGAAAGTTCAGGAAGTGGGAGAAGTACGGGAAAAAGGGGAAGGATGGGAGAGGGCAAGACAGCAGCAGAGGCAATGGCAGAGAATGGCAGAGAATGGCAGAGAATGGCAGAGAATGGCAGAGAATGGCAGAGAATGGCAGAGAATGGCAGAGAATGGCAGAGAATGGCAGAGAATGGCACGGAATGGCAAGGAATGGCACGGAATGGCACGGAATGCCCCCCCCACCTCTCTCCCCCGCCCCCCACCTCATCCGCCGCCACCATGCCCGCCCCAGCAAGCCCCCACAGCCCCCTTGCGCCCATCCCTGCGACCATACCTGCGCCCATGCCTGCGACCATACCTGCGCCCATGCCTGCGCCCACACCATACGCAGTGGGCACCATTCCCCCACCCATCCCCACGCCTCCGCCCACGCCTCCGCCCATGCCCACTCCCATGCCCACCCCCATCGCAATCCCACCACTGGAGGGGCGGGTCCCATCGCTCCCTGCACTCCCATTGCTTCCCCCAGCTCCCCCAGCGACCCCAGTGAACCCCCTCCCTGCGCTCCCTGCGCTCCCAGCGACCCGAGTGATCGCCGCACTGGAGTTCTGCCGCCGCAGCGAGAACGCGCACAGCAGCCCTGTCACACGCACGCGGATTTGCGCGCCCAGCGGCTTTCGCGGCGGCGAACATCTGCGACTCCTCGGCGAGCCAGACGGAGCCAGACGGCGTTGGTGCGACGCCCCTGCGAACGTCGCCTGGAATTCGTCGAGCGTGAGCGAATAGTAGGACGCCTGCCGCGCCAGTAGTGTCGCAGCCCACGGTGATTCCTGCAGGGACGGGAATGCGGGAATGCAATGCAGTAGTGGTGTGGGAGGGGGAATGGAGGGCCTCCACAGGCAGGGCAGGGAATGCGCAGCAGCAAGAAACAGGATATGATTGCAACGTCAGGGCATCAGCTGTGCACATACCACGCACGGGGACATTTGAGGAGTGATTTCACTCACCAAACCACCCCTGCCACCTCTTCCGCCCTCTACACATCCCACGGTCCCCCATGGCACCCTTAACGTGACGATGGAGCACGAAACGAGATGATTATGTGGATGATGGTGATGATGCCCGTGATAATAATGGTGATGGTGTTCATAAGCGTGGTAATTGTCATGACCGGCCTACTCGGAGCAACATGTGAGGCGCCTAAGTGGGTGAGAGCAATGGACGGACCTGATTTCTAGAGGCGCTCGAGGTCGTCCGCCCTGCCAGCCCCCCGCGCACCCCCCGCACACGCACGCGCACATGCAAAGGGGAGAGGGAAGAGTGTGGGAAGCGATGCGCGCGGATGAGCGGACCAGGCAAGTGGATAGGTGATGAAACCCTAAATTCGAAATACCGCTACAAAATAGTGGTTATGAGCTTGTGACTTTTGGCCGTCAACGCTGAAAACGGTATCCTATGGTGTGACACGGTACAACACTGCAAGGGCGGTGAGCGGTGCGCGTGCAACCCTTGTACGGCTGACATTCTGACCTGGCGACGCACGACCAGGCGACGCATCACACGACAAAGAAACGAGAAGAGAAGCAAGTTGCGGGGAATACGGGTGGCGCGAGGGACGGAGGTGATGGCGCAGTAAATGAGAGTGATGGGTCGGTGAATGGTGGGAGGAGGACGGAGGGAGAGGGGAGGGAAATAGAGAGACGACGAGTGCGACGAGTGCGAGGAGCGAAGCGACGCGAGAGGGAGAGGGGGAGCGGGCATACGGCTTGTTGAGGTGGGCGTGGGCCTTGTTGCAGACGCTGTTAGCGAAGCGGCGGCCAACACCGCACCGCGGCTGGAGGAGAGCGCATTCATGATGTTGGTGCGGCCGTCCACAATGGTGTTGAGCACGCGCAGAGCAGAATGCGCTCACACCCCCCTCGCTCGCTACAAGCGCCTACCCAACCCACCATCGTAGCACACGCACGCCGCACCCACACACGCACGCACGCTGTAACGTATGTCGTGGTGGTAGTTTTTCCGCGCACCCACACACGCACAACATGCACACGCTGGTAGGAGGTGGTTCGCGAAAGTTCGCAACGTTCTGCCGTGGCAAGGCGATTCGACGAGGAGCTGCCATGGTTGCGACGACTGACACGGCGATGGCGTCACCCTCTCCGCTCTCACCGCGTGCTCCCTGCAAGCACCCTTGTTGCAAGCGCCACCCGCCGTGCCACCACTCTCAAGCAAGTCCCCATATCGCGCCTTGTCAGTCGTGACGCCTCCTCTCCGCCTCTCCCCCCTGCCTTCTCCCCTCGTCCCGCTCTCCCCCCCTTCCCTCTCGCCCCTTTCACTCTCCCTGCCCGTCCCTCTCCGCAGGGTGGCGAGTGCGGAGCGGACAAGCGCGCGGGGATGGGTCGTGCGCTGCTCCGCATCAGGGCCATGCGCCACCACGCGTGGAAATGATTCGCCACGCGGGGCGCGCCATGGCGGGCAGCGCGGAGATGGTGCGCGAGCTGGTGGCGGGGGGGGAGTCCGTGCTGCTCATGGGCGCGCGGGGCGTGGGGAAGAGCAGGGGTAGCGGGTGATGGGGACGAGTGCGCGCGGAGGGTGGTGGAGGACACACAGGAGCAAGGCGATCGCAGGCGGTGGGGACATGGCCTCGCCCATTCCGCCTGCCCCTCACCTTACGCCCCATACCCCGACCTCCCTGCGTACCCTTGTTGCTTACCGCCATGCTTCCACACACAGGCCTTCAAGCAAGCCCACCGCTGCAACAACATGTGTAACTAAACTACCTGCTGCCGCGCAACGTCTTGGCTGGTATGGTACGTGGGGATGGTGGTGTGTACGTGCGTGCAGCAGATGATGATAGAGGCGGTGGGGAACCACATGGCACAGGGGGTGGTGATTGATGAAACAGAAAAACAAAAATGCGAGCTGCAGGGCTCGTGCGGATTGGACTATGCTGAACGAAAGCGTGCATTTAGAACGAGGTGCGGTGAACGGGGTAGGCCGGGAGGTTTCGGGCGATGGAGACGTACCTCGCGTTCTAGACGATTCGCGAGAGCGTGCTGTGCGGGATGGCGAGTAGCTTCTCCCCTTTAGTGCCCATCAATCCCGCCACCACCACTCCCCTTTTGAGCGTACTTGGCATTTACTTTAGCAACGATACGACTTTCCTTTTTGCTGTTAAAACTCGTCGCGCAGGCTAAGTCGCTCTAGTTGCGGTGAGTAAAATAAAAATCTTTCGGTGTCAACTCAGGAAGCAAGAAGTAGCGGCTTGTGCTGATCGGCCGCGTTATGTGGTCCTAAGTACCACTCCAGTTTCCAAAATTTACGATGGCGAAGGGGGCGAGCGAAGGGGGTGAGCGAACACTGATTTGATTTCGTCACCATGAGTAAGATATACAAATGTTCTCTATCGATGGACGCGACGTATTTTCGCCCCTCGTCATTTCGGTGTGGTTCGGTTGGATCAGGTCCGCAGTTACAGCAAGCGTAAATGTACCTCTCTGGCAGCACAGCCACTTGCAACTTTTCATCGATTCTGGAAGTAGGCCAATACCCGCGGCGCGTCGCCGTGCTAAGGAGAGCGGATGGGGAATGCGGGACTAGCGCGGTCGGAAGGTGCTGATAGGCGGCCTATGCTAGGGGGCCTAGGACCAGGCGGCAGCCGTGACTGGTCGGCGTATATCTAGGCGCGGCGCGGCGGTATGCGGGGGATAACCGAGAAAACACCAGAAAAAGGGCAGCGAATCAGCGGGATTTGCGGTGTGTGGGCAATGGCGGGGAGAACGGGTCGGGCGTCGGGGAATTTTGGGAAGAAAAAACGAGAGCGTCGCGTCGCGGCTGCGATTGACCTCAGCGGCGAAACCGTGGGTCGCGCGATCGCCGCGAAAGCGGGCGATTTTGCGCCCTTCTGCCCGTCGAAGAGCTTCCACACGCGCGCGATACACAGGCGCGTGGCGTGAATAGCGCGCGTCGAGGACTGACGGGCGGTTATGGCTCTCATGCCCATCGCCTCCTGCCATCGCCTCGTGCCATCGCCTCGTGCCATCGCCTCGTGCCATCGCCTCGTGCCATCGCCTCGTGCCATCGCCTGCGCCTGCTGCCACCTACTCTAGGTACGCGCCTAGCGCCTCCTCTCACCACTCCTTTCCCGCGCCCCCCTTTTCCCGCGCCTCTCCTTTCCCGCGCCTCTCCTTTCCCGCGCCTCTCCATTCCCGCGCCTGCTCTTCCCGCGTCTGCTCTTCCCGCGCCAGCTCTTCCCGCGCCTGCTCTTCCCGCGCCTCCCCTCCTCCAGTGCAGCAGTGCGTGCATGCCTGGAGCTCCTCTCACCACTCCTCCTCCCGCCCCTCTCATATAGCTTTGTAAAACACCATGCGGGCGTGGGCAGGGTGGCATGGCGTGTGGCATGGTGGCATGGTGTGCAGGTGGGCAGGTGTTGGGGCTGGGCAACTGTCGCAGCATCACGGACTTGGGGGGTGTGCTGCATAGCGGCGGGGTGCAAGGCGGTGCAGGAGGTGTGTGAGTGCGGTGGTGTGAGGGCTTCACCGGCCGCGGCGTGGTCATATGTGCGGCTCTGCTCTCCAACTGCCTGCCAGGCCATCCACTCGCTCCACTTCTGGTTCCTTAAAGCAAGCCTACCCACACGCCTCGCCCCCAACCCACACGCCTCGCCCCCAACCCACACGCCTCGCCCCCAACCCACACGCCTCGCCCCCAACCCACTGCCCTCCACCTCCCTCTCCTTGCTCCACGTGTCTCGTTTCAATGCTTGAGAACCGCCTCGCTCACCTTAGGACCTTCCAAAACTGCACGCCTGAACATTCCCAGTTTCCCTCTTCTCCCTCCCTATGCTTGGTCGGTCCCACCCACCCACAGGCGTCGGCTGAGCAGCAGCTGGTTGCTGGCAGCGCGTACAGCTCACGGTACCGTAAGCCACATGTACCATTCCACACTTTCCGCACTTGCCACTTGCACTCTGTCTTCACTCCCCGATCCCACACCGCCTCCACCCTCCGCCCAATGCGGCAAACACAGCCACCTCATGCGCGCCAATGCATGCCACCTCCGCTCCGCACCGACTCTGCTCCGTGCTGCTCTGCTGGCCGTGGGTGGATGCAGGGAGTAAGCCTTAGGTACTGGTCTTAGGTCTATGTATGAAGGAGGGCGAGGGGGGGCTGAGTGATTGGGGGAGCGGGAAAAGGGGAGTGGGTGGGTGAGTGAGTGAAGGAGGATGAGCGGGCGACCGAGAGGAGTGGGTGAGTGAGTAGCTGCTGCAAGTGGGTGGAGGATCGCTCCAGCTACGTGTTGTTGTCCCTTGCTGCTCTGCTGGCTGTGGCTGGGTGGTGGAGGGGTAGCGACTGGTTGGGTGAGTGAGGGGGAGCGGCGAGTCATCGTGTGTGTCTGGAACAAAATGCATGACCTTCCTGACCTGACCCTATCCCTCTTTCACCCATCTCTCCCTCCCTCCGCCCATTCCTGATGTCTTCCTTGATTGTGGGCGCATGGCGGAATGCCCATTCCTGTTTCCACACGCCTCAATCGACGCGTTGCTCATGGGGCTGTGCGCGTGTGAGGAGGAGCATTGCTGCTGTTTTCAAGACCTCATAGGGGGTTTTAGGCGCTACTCAAATGACCCTCGATGTGAAAACCACATCGTCCCTCCTCGCATCAGGTCACCCAGAACCCATCAGATTCACGTTTCGTCTCTCCTGTGCCTTCCTCCTCCTTCCCTGCTCCCAGATGGACCCATGAGTGACAGGGGCAGCAGCGCACGACACAGCGCAGCTACTATGGCACCATCTGCTGCACCACTTCCCCTCCATCACCCAAGCTCTCTTACCCATACGTGTGTGCATGTGTGTGTGCGTGCATGTGTGTGTGCATGCTTGTGTGCGTGTGCGCATGTGTGGGTGGGTGTGTGCGTGAGTGCTTGCATGCGTGTGTGTGGGGGGGGGTGTGTGTGTCCGTGATTGTGCGCGTCCGTGATTGTGTGCGTGCACATCTTTTGGGGCCTCAGAGGTCTTCCACATATATACGTGCATGCGGCACACCATTAAAAGCTGTTCTTCCATGCAATCACCAACCAACACCTGCAGTATCTCATTCCTTTGAACTTTCGCAAGTGTGAGCTTTGAGGTGCCTCAAAGCAAATACTTCACAGGCTCTTCCCCTCTGTAACCAATGCTCTGTTCATCTCCACACCCCACGTTCCATTCCCTACTCGCACTCACATTCCCTTCGCTCCCCTCCCCGGACCTCCTGTCTCAGCTTCTTAAACCCCCCCTCAGGTGCTTGCGCCACCCACCTTCCTGGGCTGGGCAGGGCAGCAGGCGAGGCGAAAGCTGATGCAAAGTGTTGGCGCAACGTTCTTTCCATCAGCCCTTGTAATCCGCCCACAAGCAGCACAGTTGAACATCCACCCACCCTCGCTTCAGTGCGTGAAGATATCGGTGTTGTGGTTCTGTCCATTTCTCTATCTTGCTCAATGTGCATGCATGCATCTGTGCGCAGCACGTTGTGCTACCAGATTTTGGCAAATCAATCAAAGTGCTTTTTGAAATATAAAGCCCACCATCCCTTTGTTGCAGGGTTCGGTTGGCGAACCACTTGCTAGAGAACATTAAGCAACAGTCATGAATGCAAGAAAACAAGATACACACATCTTCAATTCACAGTCATGTGCAACCACCAGTGTGAAAGGAATGGAACTACAGTATGGGTTATGCTTTAACAAAGCAAGAGCATGGATGAAGTAAGGGGAGGTATGTCGGAGGCTACATGCAGCAGCAACCACAGGTTCCAGGCGGCAAAACTTAATCAAACCTCTTAAACTACACTACACATGATTGATTGCAGCTCCTCCCACCCAAGAACCCAACAACAGGCCTGGTCTGGTCTGGAAGTTGTTGACCTGGCCTTTGCTCTAAGACGTCCTGCCCTGCCCGTGCCACCTTGTGCCGGTATGACACCCTCGGCTTCATCACCAGCGGCTTCTGCTCCCCTCCCCACCCCCCACACACACATGCAGGCACACACACGGGCACAGGCAGGTACAGGCACAGGCACAGGCACAGGCACAGGCACAGGCACAGAGACATAGGCACACATGCACACAGACGCACAGCAGTACGTTCAAAGGAAGCTCACGCGTTCCCTCACATCACATGTGTACTTGAGTGAGATAGGCAATTTAAATTACGCATCAGATTGTATGACACGGGAGCTGTGGCAAGAAGCACATGCGCAGAATCAAAGGAAATGCACTGCATCGCATTCTCCTCTTGTACTGTACATACATCTCACTCGTCCATGCCATACCATGCATGTGCTCACCTGCCCATGCATGTGCTCACCTGCCCATGCCACAACGACTGACCTGGCCATGCACAACGACTGACCTGGCCATGCACCGTGTTGGTGACGCGCATTGTGTGTGTCACGCTGCCGCCGTTGCCGGCCGGCACTACGGCTCCTGATGCCGCCTCCAGCTGCAGCTGCATGAACTGCACACGAGGCACGCACAAGCGTGGGGAGGAGTGGGGGGAGTTGGGAGAGAAGGGCACAGCTCACGACACAATGGGACTCAGTGGGCTGACGGGCTGCTAGGCTGGCTCCTTGCCAGCGTGTGCAGAGGCGGGCACTAGTACAGCCACGCATGTACCTTGGCCACACGCACAAACAAACACACAAGCACACACGCACGCACACGCACGCACGCACGCATGCACACACACACACACACCCACACACACACACAGACACGCACACACACACACACACACACACACACACACACACGCACACACATGCACGTACGCACGCACACACACGCACAGAGACGCACCTTGGGCACGGCGGCTTGGAAGCCAAAGCCGGAGAGGGGCAGGGCGAGGATGGTGGGGCTGCGCCTGGGGGGCTGCTGCCGCCCGCACTCCCCCCGCCGCCCTGCCTGCTGCCGCCACGCCATTGGCTGACGGCTGCCCTGTTGGCGCTGCTGCCCGCGCCGCTGCGTCGGGCGCCAGGTCAGCGCACTTGGAGCGGTACGCCACCTCATCCAGTGCTGGCATCTTGTCTGCCAGCGTGGCTCTGAGGAGGAGGAGGAGGGGGAGGATAGGAAGGGGGAGGAGTTGGGCGTGAGAGAAAGGAGTGTGGTGTGCATGCATGCAGGCAAATGCTGTTGATTGTATGGTGTGTGGTGGGCGCAGCAACGGTGATAGAGGACAAGCATGAAGCAGACCAAAGTGCACTGGACAGAGTGTGTCCAATACGAGGAGGTGCGAGTGCAGGCAGATGAGGGGAAAGGCAGGCAACAACACAAGACAAGGCGACATGCAGCAGAGTCAGGAGGAAGGGGGAGTGGACGGGTGGGGTTTGAAAGAGTGTGGGAAAAAGGGAGGGGATGGATAGATGGGGTGAAGGAGATATGGGTGGGACAGGGCGCAGGGCTGACTTGATCTTGTGGTGGCGGGCGGGCACGGCGCTGAACTCCACTGAGCGCTGCTGCACCTCCAACACCAGGCTGCGCCCCTGCTGCTCCTCCAACCACTTCATGCGCCTGTCATGGGCACAGGGGGTAAATGCGCAGGGGAGAGACGTGGAGTGGACTGGTAAAGAGGGGGAGTACCAGGGGAAACGGGGCGACTGTGATGTGAAGGTGGGAGAGGGAGGAGTGGAAGGCGTAGGGAGAGACCCAGGGGGAAGAAATAAGTGGTGGAGACAATGGCACAATTGTTGGGCACACAAGAGAGAATTGCTCCGAGGAAAGGAGTTAGAAGGAGGAGAGATGAGCATGAGAGATAGCGGGGTTAGAGGGCCGAGGGGCGCACTGGGAGCAGGAGGGGAAGCGGCAGGAGAGTTTGAGGAGAGCGACGAGGACGTAGGCGTTGAGGGTGGGCGTGGCGTGTGTGTCCTTCATGGTGGCCTGTATCATCTGTACCAGCTCGCCCTCCGCCACTCACCTGCCCCCCGCCCCACCATGCACGCACACACAGGCTGGTCCCAGGGAAGCATGCATGCATGGCAGGCACGGGGTGGTATATGGCGGGTGGGTGGATGGATGGACGGACGGGCGGACATATGGATAGAAATTGTTGCAAGGGGGGTGCACGAGACATGAGTGGTTGGTGAATGGTGTTCATGTGTGTTGTGCTTCCGGTGAGAGACGGATCATTGCGTTTCAGCTGGAAACTCATAGCGTGGGAGAACTTCAAATGGTGGGGGAACTTGAGAATGCGGGTTCACAAGAAAGAGTGGCCGAGGAAGAAGGTCTGAGGACGATAATGGGTGCACAAGAGCAAAGGCGGACGAGGGAGAGGGGCGGAGGGAGGGCGGGAGGGAGTGAGGAGGGAGGGAGGGAGGGAGGGAGGGAGGGAGGGAGGGAGGGAGGGAGGGAGGGAGGGAGGGAGGGAGGGAGGGAGGGCGGGAGGAGGGAGGGCGGGAGGGAGGGAGAAAGGGAGGGAGGCACCTGGAGGGGCGTGTGTTGGTGCAGCAGGGCGGAGTTGTTGACGAGCATCTCCCCGAACTCGCCCAGACACCACACCGCCACCACGCCTAGACTCTCCTGCCGCAGGCGCGCTGCTGATGCCCACCACCAGGAGTGCATGACGTCATCCGTCACATACTCCCCCGCCTGGCGCTCACAGGCACGCAGAGCGGGAGAGAGGGAGGCACAGGCATGAATGCAGGCACATCCGAGGAGCGGGAGAGGGGAGGGCGCATACCTCGGTGATGACTCGCAGCATGATCTCCACATGGTACAGCTTGCTGGGCGCGTACCTGCATGCACCATGCCGTGCCGTGCACACACACCCCCCATGCACACACACCCCCCATGCACACACACCCCCCATGCACACACACCCCCCATGCACATACACCCCCCATGCACACCACCCCCCATGCACACCCCCCAACCCCCCCATGCACATCCCCCAACCCCCCCATGCACACGCACACCCCCATGCACCCACACACACATACACACGCACATGCACAGCATGCAGGGCACATTCACCACAGGTTGGTGATTTCAGGTGTCTCAGAAAGGCATGGCAGGACACATGGCGGACAGCACAATCCAAGATGAGGGAAGGCAGGCAGCACATGACACACAAAACGAGAGGTGGAGGGGACGAGGGAGAGGAGGGAGGGAGGAACGGGAATGGGGAGGGGAGGGAGGGAGGGGGTGAGGGGAGGGGCATTGTTGCACAAAGGCGCAGATTTTGAATGTAAGATCGGGCTTGAAGAACATGGCACAGAAAACGGGATGGGGAAGGCGGGCAGCACATGGCACACAGAACGACAGGGGGGAGGGGAGAAGAAGGGAGACGAGGAGGGGAGAAGAAGAAGAGGGGAGGGGGTGGGGGGAAGCGCACCGTTGCACGAGGGCGTAGATGTTGGAGGTGAGGTGGGGCTTGAAGTGGTAGTCCAAGAGCTCGCGAGTGCGCTAAGCGCCTTGAAATTGCCTTCGTTCACCAGCGCACACACCAGCTCCAACGCCCTCCTCCTCATGGCACTGCCCCAGTCCTGCTCGCGCAACCACGCACATGCGGGCGTAGAAAAGGGTGTGGACAAGGGAGGGAGGGCGGTCAGTGACCTGTGTCAGGCCGTGACAGTCCACAGTGCGAAAGAGGAATTGACAGAGGGGTTGCATGCATGAGGGAAGTTACGGGGTGGCGTGAGAGGAGTCAGGAGGGGTGGTGCGGGAGGAGGGCAGGAGGGGTGGTGCGGGAGGAGGGCAGGCAGGAGGGGCGGCGCTTGCCTTGACGCATTGGATGGGACAATGGTGTTGCGATGGCGCTGCACGGCCTGTGTGTCCACCGCCACCACCTTGATCAGCGTGTTCAGCGCCACGCGCCCGCCACGCCGCCATGCACGCATGCACGCACGTGTGCACACGCACACAACCATGAACAGGCGCTGCTGCTGCTGCTGCTACGTCTGCTGCTGCTGCTGCTGCTACTATGGCTGCTGCTGCTGCTGCTGCTGCTGCTGCTGCTGCTGCTGCTACTATGGCTGCTGCTGCTGCTGCTGTTACGTCTGCTGCTGCTGCTGCTCCTGCGAGCAGATTCCTTCCCCTTCCCACTCCCCCTCCCGCTCCCCCTCCCGCTTCCCGCCCCCTCCCGCTCCCCCCCTCTTCTGCTCCTCCTCCCGCTCCCTCTCCCGCTGCTCCTCCTCCTCCTGCTCCCGCTCCCCCCCCCTGCTCCCCCGTCCCTCCCAACCCCCCCTCCCACAACCCCTCCCCCCACCTGGTGCTAACCTAGTGCTATTGCGGGTGCGGATGCTGCCACACCCCTGGACTGTGCTGCTGCTGCTTCACGAGCGAATGCAGCCGCCTTATCTCGAGCCCGCTGCCATGCACGCGTTAGCTTTTGCAACTCCTTCGGCAAACGGGCTGGGCTCCCCCACTCCTCCCTTTGCTGTTTCGAGGTTTTTCGGCCTTTAACTTTCTTCCACCAACGCTGCACTAGTGACCTGTTCCCCCTTATCACCTCAACCTCCTCCCCCGTTAGGAAGCTTTTCACTGATTCCTTTAGAGCTTCCACCGCCTTAATCCTTTCAGCTTCCACCTTAGGCTCATGCGTAAACAAAACCTTGCCGATGGCCGACCAGGTAACCGCCACTTCCTGCGTCTCGAACTTCCCCCCGGAGTACCCCTTCTTACGAGGCTCGAGCTGCCCCTCTTTAGGAGGCTGACGTACGGAAATCTCCGAACATATCTCGTTTTCCCTGATAACCACCCATGGAAACCTACTTTTTACACTCCCATCACTTCCCCTTCCTGCCGATTCGTGCTGACACTGCTGGTTCTCCCCTTCCCTCGCCCCTTCACGACCGTCTCTCCTCTTCCCTCCCTTTGCTGGCTGCTGCAGCTGCGTCCGCCTCCTCTCCTTCACCCTTTCTGCTATCCCTCCCCCCTCACGCTTTTCCCCTTCCTCTGTTGTCGTTGCTGCTACCGCTCCTGCTCTTGTATATGCTGCAGCCGTTTCTGCTTCGGCTTCGGCTTCGGTTTCTGCTTCTGCTTCTGCAGAGCGGGGAGGGGAGTCAGGAGGAGATTGGAAAGAAGGAAATACCCCTACTGCTCCTTCCCCCTGCTGCCCACTTCCCCACCTCCTTCTCTCCTCCTCCTCCTCCTCCTCCTCCTCCTCCTCCTCCTCCTCCTCCTCCTCCTCCTCCTCCTCCTCCTCGTCCTCCTCCTCGTCCTCCTCCTCGTCGTCCTCCTCCTCGTCGTCCTCCTCGTCGTCCTCCTCCTCGTCCTCCTCCAGCAGCACCACCTCCTCCTCCTCCACCTAAAAAAAAGAGAAGGGGTTGTGGAGGGGGAGAAGTTCTTTAGCCAATTTTCAAGCTCCTGTCCACTGCTGTTGCATGCCTCGCATCTCCCCCTGTAATCCCTCACGTCCTCCCCACTGCCTTCCTCGCGCCCACCACCACCCCCTCGCCCCTGGCATTCCTTGGCCCACCTGTGGGCGGTGCTGCTTCTCCATCATGTCCCTCCCCTGCTCACCTGAACCCTAAACCCTCATCCCACCTTCCTCCCGACCGCCCTCCTTAACCACCTTAACCCAGCCCGGCTCCCCCATCCCCCTCTCCAACCCACCACGTACAGCTTTCCCTCTCACGCCACCCCCCTCCCTCTCCCTGCTGCCCGACCCCCTATCCTCTTCCCCCTCACTGAGCACACCTCTCACCACCTCCCTCGCAGCTCCCGCTCCCATGTCATTACAATCCCCATCCTGCTGCCCTCTGCTCCTCCCATAGCCCCACCTCCCGCCTGCTCCCTGCTGGATGGTCGAGAATGGGCCGGGCTGGGCCTGGGCACGGCGCAGGGTGCGCAGTGAGAGGACGCCCCTCTTTCACCCCCCCTTCTCCCAACCCCCTTCTCCCGCATCCCTTCTCCCCATTCCCCATTCTCCAGTCTCCCCTCTACCACCCCCCAATCTCCCACCGCCGTCTCCACTCTCCCCCCTTAGTTGGTCATTTACGTTTACGTTTACGTACGTACGTGTACGGGTACGTACGTTTACGCGGCTGTTGGGTTGGAGGCCTAATGTACGGGCAGGCGAAAAAATTTCTGGGCTGCCCGAACATGTATATTTTCTCTATAGTTCTCCCTCGTAATCATGATTTCCATCATATAGTGTAAACATTCCATCATGTAGTGTACATTTAGATTTGACTCAACGAATTGGTTTGACTCGAAGTTGGAATTCGCCGAAACCAGTGAAGCTCGGCGGTGACGAAACTGCCGAGCGGGTGAGATTCGCTTACCTTGCAAACGAAGCAATCGCGATCTGAGTCAAACTGTTCGCAATGTTCTATCGCGAACAGTTTGCACACATTCGGATCTACTCCCACCACAATTTCCTCCCTCCTTCTCTCGACAGACTTAGCTATCGTGGTTCTACCGCCTTAGTCGACATAGTACGTAGGGTAGTCGCCACACCATAGCAACCCTAGCTAGCAACCTTCCTGTTTCTTACATTACTACTTTGAAAAACGTCGCGCCGTTTTGCTAACACGCTAACAGAGCACAGGTCCTCGAAAACTTTTTTTTTTTTTTAAGTTTTTTCAAAAACCGTTTTCGAAGAAATTTCAACGCGAACTTTTTTTTTCTGACCTGCCCGGCGTACGTACACGTACGTACGCGTACGTACACGTAAACGTACATGTACGCGTACGTTACGTGTACGTGGGCTGAAATGGCGTAAATGACCAACTTAGTCTCCCCCCGCCCCCCCCCCCCCCCCCACCACTCCCACTAGATTGCTGAGCCCACCTCAGATTGCTGAGCCTCACAGAAAAAAGCAGTCACCTCACACTCGCGGCAGCAGCACCGCCTCCCGTTAGCCTCGCCACCTTCCTCACGTCACGCCCACCCCCACCCCCTCGCCCATGAAACCCCTTGGCTCACCTCGTCCTGCGTGGGGTCGTCAGTCGCATCCATCTCCATCGAAACGCTCCCCTGGCCTCCCCCCACCGCCCTCGCCCCCGCCTCCGCCTGCTGCTCCTGTTGCCCCACTGCCCCACTCTCCTCCGCCTCCTGCTCCTGCTGCAAGGGGAAAGAGGCGAGAGTGGGCTAGGGGGGTGTAAGGATGTGTGCTGTGAGGTGCGGGAGGTGAATAGATACTGGCAGATGAGGCGGATAGTCGTGGAAGGGCGGAGGGGCGTGGGTGTGAAGCAGTACAGGCTCCTACGAATACCTTCAAACAATGTGCCCAAACATCTCACCTGCTGGATGCACACGCACATGCCACCCGAGGCAGTGCCACCCGAGGCAGTGCCACCCGAGGCAGTGCCACCCGAGGCAGTGCCACCCGAGGCAGTGCCACCCTAGGCAGTGCCACCCGAGGCAGTGCCACCCGAGGCAGTGCCACCCTAGGCAGTGCCACCTGAGGCAGTGCCACCTGAGGCAGTGCCACCTGAGGCAGTGCCACCCGAGGCAGTGCCACCCGAGGCAGTGCCACCCGAGGCAGTGCCACCCGAGGCAGTGCCACCCGAGGCAGTGCCACCCGAGGCAGTGCCACCTGAGGCAGTGCCACCTGAGGCAGTGCCACCCGAGGCAGTGCCACCTGAGGCAGTGCCACCCGAGGCAGTGCCACCCGAGGCAGTGCCACCCGAGGCAGTGCCACCTGAGGCAGTGCCACCTGAGGCACGAACCGGTCACCTAATTGATTCCAACATCCCTTGCGCCTTCAGCCCTCACTTCACATTTCCCCACCCCATTCCCTTCTGCATTTAGCGCTCACTTCATGATTCCCCACCCTGGATGCCCTTCATCAAACCCTTCGCCCGGCGGCTGCAGTCCTCACTCACTCACCTGCTGGATGCACACGCACGTCCTCTCTGCACCCGCGCAGTCACGGCAGAGGCCCCTCTCCCACCAGCTGTCGGGCGCCCTCGCCTGGAGCACACGCACATGCCTCTTCTGTAATCCCTCCCCTCCTACTCGCGCCCTTACTCGCGCGCACGCCCACCCCCTCGCCCGTGTGTCCCCGTGGGCCGTGGCTCACCTGAACATGTGTCGCGGGGTCACGGGCATCAACCTTACTCTCCCTCTCCTCCGCCGCGCTCTGCAGCGCCTCGACCATCCTCTCCCTCTCCTCCGCCGTGCGTTGCATCCCCTTGATCGTTGCCTCCCGCTCCTTCACTGTGCGCTGCAGCTCTTTTACCAACAAGTCCTGCGTCTCCGCCAGCTTAGCAAACTGCAGGAGCACATTAGAAAAATGGCGTATGAATCCTGAAATCAGGGCTCGGGTGCGATAACTTCGCATTCAGGCATCCGGAAGAAAGGGGAAGAGGAAGGCAGGCAGGCAGGTGAGAGGTCAGGTATGTTAGAGGGGTGGTAATGGGGGTAATGTTAGAGGAGGGTAGGTGAGAGGAGGGTAGATGAGAGGGAAGTAGATGAGAGGGAAGTAGTTGAGAGGGGGGCAGATGAAGAAGTAAAGAGGTTTTATGCCACTCACCGCTCCCTTCTCCGCAGCTGCATCTTGCAACTCCTCGACTCGCCGTTGCAGATCTTTTACTCTTGCCTCAAACTGGTATGTGCAACAACAAGGGTAGGTGAGAGAGAAGCAGGTGAGAAGGGGACGAGTGTGGATGGGTGAGAGGGGGTGGTGAGAGAGGGGTACGTGAGCAACCATGCCACACCAAACATCATACTTTATTCCCCCCTCCCCGTCTCATCCCCTTCCCCCACCTTCATGCACGTGCAGCATAACGGCCCAGAGTAGCATACTAGCATACCTGATATAACCTTTCACGGGCATACTTAAATGCCACTTCAGCAAGACTGGCCCGCTCCTCATATGCCTCCGCCTCGTTGGCGTAGGCTTGATGCAGATCAGTAACCTTGTTATGCCTATCGCCGCCCACTTCAAAGTATTCTGCCGATGCGGAGGGAACGTAGAAAAAGATGAGAGAGAGCTCGTTCCCCATGCCACTCCCTTCCTTATGCCACTCCTCTCCCCATACCACCCCACTCACCCCCCGCTACACCCTTCCACATGCCACTCCTATCCCCTTGCCACTTCCCTCTCCATGCCACGCACCTCCTCACGCCACCCCCTACCCTCCCTTTCCCATGCCACTCCCCTCCGCCTGCCACTCCCCTTCCCTGTCACTCCCCTCCCGCCATGCCAGTCCCCTATCCCGCCATTCCCCTCCCCCTGCCACCCCCCACCCTATCCCACGCTCCATCCCTGACACCCCCCCCCCACAGCCGCCCATCTCCCCCGCTCCGTAGGCCACCCCCCTCTCCATGCCACCCCCCTCCCCATACCACTCCCCTCCTCTAACCACCCCGCTATCCCTCGCATCCCCTTCCCTTCCCCATGCCACTCCCCTTCCCTGTCACTACCCTCCCCATGACACCCTCTTCACCATGCCACCATGCGACTCCCCTCCCCATGTCATCCACCTTCCCATGCCACCCCGTTCCCCACTCACCTCCCCCTCAGATATACCTTTTCGAGCCTTTATCAACTTGTTTCGGATCTCGGTGACGTCCTTTTCCTGTATTTTTGTCCACTGCTTCTTCATCCATGTACGGAAATCTTCCCAGTCAAGCGCTGTGAATAGGGCAGACACGGAGTGAATGTAAATGCAGAGGGGGAGAATGTAAATGCAGAGGGGAAGGGGCTGCGGGCATGGAGCACCGTGCCAAAGGGAGAGGAGGGAGAGGTGGGGGGGGGGAGGGGGTGGGGGGGGTGGGGGGGCGGCGGAGGGATGGACGGCCATGGTGGGGGGGGCTGTACGCACGGTACACCATGCCAAAATGACACGAGGGGCTGAGGGCATGGTGAGCAATGAAAATCTGACAGGGGGGCCTGAGGGCATGGTGAGCAATAACAAAATGGCAGGGGGGGTTGCGGGCACGGTGAGTCGTGACAAAATGACAGGGGGGCTAAGGGAGGCGGCGCACTCACCACGTTGGTCGCTGGCGCTGCTGGTGCTACTTCTGCTGCCAGCGCTGGAGCTGCTGTTGAAGAAGACGCTGTCCTCGTCTTCATGCCCCTCATGGGCTGAGCGCTCCGCACTAGTGCTGCAGGTGCGGGCCTCCTCCTCATGCCCGTCATGAGATACTACAGCAGCAGTAGCTGTATGTGCAGCTGATTGTTCCCCGCCCCCGCCTCCCTCTCCTCCGTGTACGCCTGGTGGGAGGAGAGAGGGGCATGGAGGGGACGTACACGAGGTGAATGGCATGGAAAAGGAGGACAGCACCCTTTCTCCATGATCCATCTCCACCGTGTATGCCTGGGGGTGGGGAGGAGGGGGGCATGGGTAGAAAAACATGG